CTGCACCACTTCAAATTGAGGAAATCGGGAAACGAGTTTTTGGAAGTCCAAAAATTTGAGTGACAACGACTCGACGTAGACTTGACTGCATTTTAATCGAGAAGGGGGTGGGCGTGAAAAAATTGAGACATACATAAAAAAAGTATGCAGAATCCGAAAATTTCAACCTAATATACGCACCATGAGAAAAAACCACCATATAGGCCCTTCGAAAGTTAATAACGATTGAATCATTTTTTGAAAATTATTCATCCACGTCCGTGCCTGATGCCGCCATGAAGTCAAATATTAATACAAACTATTTGTATCATATTAAAGCCCATAACTTGCGGGTCAAAGCGTATTCAAAGAAATCTAAAGCAAAACATACTTAACGTCAAGAAAAAATGGTAAACGCAAGACCTACCAAGCCGTGCAACAAAATGACACCAAAATAATTGGTCACTGACGACGAGTCCTACGTCCTTAAAAACGTGACAGAAACTTCAGGAAGGGAATTTTTCATGGGAAATATATCTCTCAACTGAAAACCGAACAGAAATTGAAATGTTTTTCGAAATTTCTCAAAAAATCTCAGGTTTGGCTGGCGTTCGGACAATTTGGACATGTTTCGGACCCCTCAGTTTATATGGGCTATGAGGACGCACAGGTTTGTTTTCGGAAATGTGTGATAGACCGCCTGATTCCTTTCATCAAGGTGTATCATAAAATACAAAATGCAATTTTTTGGACCGACCTTGGGCTAATCCACAATGCAATAACTATCAAGGAAAAAATCTAGAAAAAAATCATTTTGATGCTGGAAAATGAAAATCCCACATACATCCATTATCTTCGCTCAATTAAAAAAAATTAGGCTATATGTGAGAAGACATACTCCCAGCTTTGTGAAACAGTCGATACTTAAAGAAAATTTTGGTTACGGAGGGAGAAAATTAACAATGAAGTTGCAAAGTCTTCCGGAAAAGAATTAATGGCGGGCGCGATGAAAAAGACTAAACACGAAGTGAGTAATTGATTAAGGTCTCCTTTCTTCGCGGATACCTAATGTCAGTAATGTTTATAATAACCACCAAAAGATTTTAAAAATCATCTTTGACCATTTTGAGGATAAATTTCCAAGTGATCGGGTTCATATAAGATTTGCTCTACGTAGCTATTTCATATTTTGTCAAGACTTCTTTCCAGCTCTCACTGCAGCTTTACATAAGGAAGATGCCGCTCCCAACGACAGACAAAATATATAATAGCCGCGGAAGGGTGAAGACAGGGATGAGGGAATATGTTCCCGCGGTTATTCGATGCTCCCATCGGCTGCCCATGTTATACACATTCCATCCCCTTCATGCAGACTACGTAGATTTAATGAATGGAATCCGTTATCTTTTCATTCCCTTAATCAAGGGAATGAGGCTTCAGATGAATTAACCAAATCTTCTACTGGAACATATTTTGAAATTTGAGCACGAATATAATATCGTACGCGCTTTGACATTCGACACACCAGTGACCGTGTGGACCAAGTAAAATATGTCGAACACGTCAAACGTCTCTTTGTTAACAGATTTTGAATCGGGTATAACAATATGATGTTGATTTTCTATGGATCCATTCGTTGTGACCATATATTTACTTACTGGGCCCACTGTAACTGTATTTAGCTGTTAACTTTAAAACCGCTGGAGATCATGAAAATCTGATAAGTGCATTGGATTCCCCGTGCGATTTTGCATAAGTTTCACAAATCCGTTTTGAACTACTTGCAAAGCTTATCAGCAGGGAAAATTTTGAATGAACGCATGCGGCGAAAATTTTTCATTTAAAAAATGGGTAGAAAAATAGTAAATTTGAAAAGTGTGGCAGGAATCGAACGTGCACTATAATTTAGTCCAGCGGACTATAAAAACGTTCTCGGGGACTGGGTCGACTAAGAACAGTCGAAGAAAAATTTTTATAACGACCACACCCATCATCAAGGCGCCGAAGCCTGGAATCAGAAGAAATTCGCGAAATTCCAACGGAAACCAACCTCACAGCTGACAGTGTGGAGCCAGATTATCTAATGAGTACTCAAATTGAACCTTAGAATTAGGACTTTGCATTGTAGTACTTGCCACATGCTGACTATCCCCCGAAGAAAAGCCAGATTAAAGAAACCCAGGAGTACCTTCAAATCTGTAACACAAAAGATGTTGAAGCTATAGGGTCTTATTTAGCGTACAGTTTCAGTGGGCCACCTGGTATTACCAAATGAGAATATATAGAATGCCATGAGCATTGTTTATATTTCTAAAATATCTTAATTTTCCTATCATCAACTTAAACCATCAAATTTACGTTCTTTACAAATTCCTTTGACTTCCGTCGGTGACAGAATTTGGGCTTATTATATAGATTAAAATATTTAATTGGTTGGAGTTTTCCAAAATTCCACTCAATTTCCATGAAAATCAAATAAGCTCGCGCCCGGCGGGAGACGGGCTTATACGCTAGTTAAGTATAATGCAATACATGAAAACCTGGCCGAAGTCAAATTAGTAATTTTATATGTATCGAATTACTTTCACAGTTTGTAGTTTGGCACCAAAGTACAAACTGATTGTTACAATGTGCAGGAAATCCGAAATCATTTGGATGGAATTTAATAAAAATATATTATTGAATTTTATTAACTTATAGATAAATTAAAATTAATAATTTGTAACTAATAATCTCACAAAATAATTTGACCTAAAAATTGAGTAAGTCTTAAGCGGCGAGATTGTTGGGCATGCAGATTTTAACTTACAAAGTCGCCAGGTTCAAATTACAGTGAATCCAACGAAATAAGTTACATATGGAGCACACGTCAATCATAACTTTTACGAATATCCGGTGCTACGCAATACAATTCAACAATACAATATTATCGGAAATAATAAAAAACCGCATGCATAATTTTAATGGCAATGACGTCGAAATACATATAAAACGTTTAAGCACATATGCATGTAAGCAAACGTGGTCTTACTCACGACCACGTAAATGCATATTACAGATGTTAGCATCGCAACTCATTAATGTAGAAAATTGGCAAAATTGTGTACTAATAATGTAAAATTAAGAGATTCTGTTAACGTACAGGATATCTACCAATATGTAGTTGTCAGTTTGTAAGTCTTCGTTGAGCAAGAGAGTAGAGATTTTTAAGTATTCTAAAGTCAAGTTTAAGTAATTACAAGAAAGTAAAGTTATACATAATTCCAAGATACAAAAGCAAAGGTTTAGTGAAAACTTAAATATCTCAAAATTCGCAATAAATTCGCACATTTCGGCTTGTATCGCGAAAATTCCGATTTGTTTTCTATATACAAGCTTGAGCCCAGCTAAAGTAAGATGCACACAAGTCATCCTAAATATTTCTTAGCAATTAACGTTGCTATTTTCCCAATTTTGGATTATTTCGCATCCTAATTTTACATATTCATAATTAACAAGGAAACATACCGAGGTGCCCAACGAGTTAAGGGTCGACACCTATACTAAAATGACCACAACACATGACTTATTAAACAAACTGAAGTAATTTCCGTGTAAAATTCACTTTTCGTCAAGTTGTGACGATATTTGTGACGAGCGCATGACCATCGGGTTGGCAGAGAGGGAGAGGTCGGCCGCTGAACGATCAGGTCGAACAGAGAAGCGTCGTCGTCTTCAGAGATTTCAAATTCTTTCAAATTTTGAAAACATCTTAAAATTTTGAAAAAATTTTGAGAAAATTTTGAAAATTTGAGAAAATTTTGAAATTTTGAGAAAATTTTGAAATTTTGACAAAATTTTGAAATTTTGAGAAAATTTTGAAATTTTGAGAAAATTTTGAAATTTTGAAGAAATTTCAATTCTTTTCAAAATTTCAAGTGGATTTCAAAATTTCAAGTGGTTTTCAAAATATGATAGAATTTGAAATCTCTGAAGACGACATAAAGACGACGACGCTTCTCTGTTCGACCTGATCGTTCAGCGGCCGACCTCTCCCTCTGGCAACCCGACAGTCATGTGCTCGTCACAAATATCGTCATAACTTGACGAAAAGTGAATTTTACACGGAAATTCCTTCAGTTTGTTTAACAAGTCATGTATTGTGGTCATTTTGGTATAGGTGTCGACCCTTAACTCGTTGGACACCTCGGTATGTTTCCTTGTGAGTTGTACACGTAAAAGACTTCATTATAATTGTTTTTGCACTACATAAATACAAGTATCTCAGAATATGGATTAATGGAATGACCAACAATGTTTCGTTGAAATAGGAGGTAGATTTTGAATGCCTTCTCGTTGATTACAACGAAAGGACATGCCGGACTGGCATGTCTGGGCGAAAAATTCCTGTGGGCGTCAAAAAAATCGTACACGGTCATACGATAGCTCATTTTTTTCGTGAGGCCTTGCCGCGTCCAATAAAAAATATTGGAAAGTCGAAAAAAAATTATCCACCGAGTTTTACTTTTGGCCTCTCATTTTGAATCTTTAAAAAAATGCTGACCTTTGACCTGCGTGTGTCGTTAAAAATCGACGACGCGGAAATTGTCCGTAGATACTTTTGACATTTTTTCCCGAAGTTCGGAATTTTAGAAATTGTGGGATCATATCGAAATAAAAAATATGTCGTTGCATCTACAATTTCGTGACATACTGTACTTTCACTAAGGATAGGATGCAAATTTATATAGGCTGGTACGCACATGTGCATGTACAGGGTGGTTTAAATGTCACGCAACAATGGAAAATTTTTCAATGGGAAAAATCCCTAAATCCCCATTGGTTACAAGATTTTGGATTAAGATTTTTACAATTATTATCAAAACTGATGGAAAACTGATAACGAAATTCTTTAAATTGAATTTTAGAGACAAAATTTCGGTAACTAATGGAAATTTACAAATTTTTCCCATCGAAAAATTTTCCATTGTAGCGTGACATTTTAACCACCCTGTATTTATGTAAATTTGAACCTGGAACAATGTTTTATTTCGTGACAAAGTAAAATTTGTGCTGTAATGTTTAATGTCTTTAAATATAAAACAAATAAGCTCACTTTTCATTTTTGTTCATGTGGTCGTATTTGTGTGTCTCGAAATGAGCGAACGTTCAAACCCTACAAAATTAAAAGGTATACCTTATTTTACGACTTTCTCCATCAAACTTACTTTTGAACAACTTACCTGATGCAAGACTTTGCATTATGTTTGTCGCAATCTATCTTCAGCAAGACACACGTCGGTCTTCGACTACACTTCCTCTTTGTAGCGCCCTAAAAATTGGTACACTATTCACTACATGTCCCGCGAAACGAAAGCTTAGAGTGCAACCAAAGTTCACACTTGCTACTTCGTAGTTTGAAAGGGGGACATTCATAATGAACTTACAATACTGCAATCCGCCTCCAGAATTGCTTCCGTCTGGCCATCAACACATCGATAAGCTCCTACCGGTTGGCATGTCCCTCCCGCTTTGGGGGACATCTCGTGTCCGCAAAACATGTAGACGGATCCAGAAGTGTTGAGGCTTGGGGGGCACATGCATCCAGTGTATCTATCTGGTTCCCCGGGTCTTAATTTGCCGAAGTTCTCCAAATACCAGGACCCCGCTGGGGGCAGTTTTAGTTTGCTGTAATCAGTAGTACTTGCCGAAGCCAAGGTGGCTGTGAGCCAAAGGAAAATCCAACAATTGAATGGCGACGACATTTCCGACGATCTGAAAAATAGGTTAGGTTAATTTAATCATTTCAAATTGGTTAATTAGCTTGAAACTGACTTTGAGATTCAATAATTTTGAATCAATATTGGAAAATAGAGCGGAATTTTAATTTCTAATTTTATTCATGCATGCGTGATCGACCTACTTTTGCATTTTCAAATGTAATAGATCCAAAATTTGTTTGTTACAAATTGCACACAACCCGAGGTCACATTTGCTCCAATTCAATTACAGGCAATGTACATATACATATTCTTTGTCAAATCACAATTACTAATTTCGCAAAATTATTTAACCTCTTGTTAATACATAAATTACAGTTACTTTGCAAATAAAAATAAGTAAAATTTACTCCAGATTGAGTAAAAAAAGATGACGCAACTTACAGGAAAAATTTATCCGACGTGGTGCAAAATTTATTCACCCGTTGGACAAATTTTACAGAAATTTTGCACATCGGTCGAACTAATTTTACTTGCCCACTGTAGCATCCTCTTTTATATATTAGCTCAACCTTTAGTAAATTTTACTTATTTTTATTTAGGCTCAACTACAGATCTGTATACGTATAATTCTCAGTTTTGACCTCCTGCGTCAAAGCTGCTGGACATGCAGCTGGTCACTTGCAGAAAGTTCCCACTTTTGATAACGCTGTGTAGGCAGTCCCTGTTACGGTTGTACAATTACCAAGGTTCAAACTATAGTGGGGCTGAAACGGAGTTACGAATCCGTCCATCATACATTTTATGAACATCCTGTGCTGCTCATTACAATGTAATATTATTGGTTTAATAACAATGGATAAGCATATATACATTTACATGTATGCATTATTTTTATGAGGATGACGTCGTTATGCCCCGTCTTAAAACGACCAGTCAGTTTATATTCCGTTATTTATTTGTTCAATCATTAGCCGTAACCAATATCGCTAGATGAATTGCTGGAACATGCGAATATTTATGCAAATGAAATGCATGTATATGCGACCGTACTTACGTACATAGATAGTCAAATATATAGACGAATTCACAGTTTTGAAAGATTAAGTTAAAAAATCAGAAAGTATTTTTAAAAGCCCAATGATTTTTTGTATGTATGATTATAGAGGTTAAAACATCCTCGGGTGGCATTACAGAAGAATTTCGAAGCAAAAAGAGGTACAAATTAAAAATATTTAAAACAGAAATTGCTCGGGGTTAACATTTAAAGATTTATTTATTTCGAATTACTTAAAATGTGTGCTGTAATATTTCCTGTGAATGCGTGCTTGACGTTCAGGCCCTGCAAAATTTAAAGATATTACTTATTTATTTTCTAATTTTCTTAGCAAAGCTTGTTTATTAACGACTTACTGAACACACCCCTTTGCATTATGATCCGCGCGTAGTATCTTCAGAAAACAGCATCCAAGTCTTGGACCACATTTGCTCTTGCCCGCACCCTAAAACTTCGCAAAAGGTTCTTTTAGCCTTTCGTTGAAGTCTGTTTATATTTCAAAAACTTAATGCAAGATTTGTTTTGCCTCTTGGAAAAATAACTAACAAATCAAATTTGATGGCAAATATGCTGCCTATTTGTGAGCAGACACATATAGCTCCAAGTATTTTTGAAGCAATTAGCATGTCAACCTTTGCAGTTTCTAGTGTAAATTACCACTTGCAAGAAATCAAGAAAAGAGGGCAAGAAACCAAATATGTACTTCGCGCTGCTCTACTTCACAAGACGGGCCGTAAGATGGCTCATGTGTCTCTTGCAGCTTGCGTGTCTTGCTCTGCATCTTTAAAAATGGAACAAACCGCAACAAAGAAACACTCATTTTTGGGTGGTCTCCTTTTGCAATTTTACAATTTTGAAAACATGTTCATAATGACCTTGGTAACAGGTCATTATATTATTTATCAGATTTATTATACTGACACTTGAGCCTTTACAACTAGGTATGTACTGACCACAGGGTCGCAATCAAACTCCATTATTGCTTCAGCCTGGCCGTTTACGCATCGATACGCCCCTTTTGGGATGCACGACCCTCCCGCTTTGGGCGACATCTCGTGTCCGCAAAACATATAGGTTGATCCCGTAGTATTCAGGCTTGGTGGGCATATGCATCCCGTGTACCGGTCTTCTTTATCAGGTCTTAATATAGCGAAGTTCTCCAAATACCAGGTAACCACTGGGGGCAGTTTTATTTTGCTGTAATCCGTAGTGCCTGCCGCAGCCAGGGTTGCCGTGAGCAAGAGGAAAACCCTAAAATTGCAACACAGCTGCATTTTATATGATCTGAAAATAATTTTGTATTTAATTAAATAGCCAGATATTTCAAACTGGGCAGTAAGATTAAAACGCATGATAACTGATCAACTTATTCCGCTGAATTTGCATAGAATGCGGTAAGTTCTGGTCGAATTGTAGTTATTAGTCTTATTCAATTGTACTTGAATTACTTTTGCGGTTTTAAGTTTGACCAATCCGCGAACTTTTTGTAACCATCTACAGAAAATCCAAAATCAGGTTGGCTGGAGTTCAAGTCAGAATTATAAAATTATCAACTAAATAACAACTAATTAATACCTTGTAATTATTTACAAAGTAGTATTAGAAATTACACAAAATAACTTGAGCTATACTGAAATCAAGTAACTATGAAGCATCAAGATTTAGCATGTAACTAAATATGTAAGAAATTAAAAACTTAAGTTCATTTATGTAATCGCTAATACTGCTTTGTAAATAATTACAAGGTATTAACTGTAGTTTGTAATTTTATAATTTTGAATTGAACTCCAGCCAACCTGATGTAAGTAATTAAAAACTTGCAAAGAATCCCTACTTGCAGAAACAATTAAGAATTTAACCAGGGAACCTTTTATAGTGCCCGGAGCTCCCAGCATATCCACTATATACATTCGACGCAGTTTTTAATACTAGTCCAATGATGTGACAAAATTTCCGTGTCAAAATCATCCCCCTGCTTCTTACAATTCGTAAGAAGTTATATTTTTTGCATAATTTTTAATCTCCGATATTTAAAAGGAAAAAATAATATTGACAAGTTGTGAATAGTAAATGAATTGGAATCATTTTCTAAATGCAGTGAAATTAGATGCCAGTAAATTGATTGAGATTTGAGTGAGGAGCGTGCGGAGCGTATTGTGAAAAAGGTACCGCGCTGCTAAAACCATGGCGAAAGTGACCATTCCGCGCGTCACTGAAATCGTCACCACTTGACCAAATGTCATTTTGACACGGAAATTTTGTCACATCATTGGACTAGTATTAAAAACTGCGTCGAATGTATATAGTGGATATGCTTGGAGCTCCGGGCACCATAAAAGGTTCCCTCGTAAGACTATCCTTGTTCAGGTTGTACAGGTTCCTATACATGTTCCATCTAAAGCGAATCTGATGAAATAAGTTACGAAAGGAGCTCCCGTCAATCATAACTTTTATGAATATCCAGTAATATTGCTAAATACAATGCAACAATACAACATTATGGGCAACAAAAAAGAATATAAAGCACATGCATCAATTTTATTGAGATGACGTCGAAATATTGAAATGTTTAAGCATGTTCCTGAACATGGTCTTAGCAGCGTGTTACAGATAGGTATACGATACGTATCGTAGTAAGCTAAATTTAGCCCTGCTAAATAAGGTTTGTAAAATATATAATAGATACTCCCTAACAAATTGGAAGGAGGAGTCACATATATTCACTGGTATTGCTTTGGGAGTTATTTGGTAGTAATTTGGTAATATCGCATTTCTAATTGTTTGTTTCAGAATTTGGTAATTTTCATTACCATAACATTACTAAACAAGAATGCCGGTTATTACCGTGTTGGGCATAATAGTCGTACATGTACTCCATGCATGTAATGATTTCATACCGGTTTCCTACTTACTGAGGGTGGGGCGTCCCCCTGATAACGTTTTTGACCTTTAATATCCTAGGCTCTATTAGAAATTTTGAATTGAAATTTTTAGAATTTGTTCACCTTATAGTCAGCATTATGGGTGCAAAATTTCAATTCGCTAGTGTACATGGCAGACCTTCCACTAACCCCAGAGTAAAACACTTATGATTTTTTTTGTTCCAGGCATAAATTATCCTATGGAAGCACATGGGGCAGTTGTTGAGAACCTAAAAATATCAGGAAATAGCAAATTATGTGGCCCCATGTCTGCAGTAGACAATACAGTTTAAAGTTTGATAAAAATATTACTGTGTAGAGTTTCAGAGCAAAAGTTATAACAGCCCCCAATGTGTCAAAATGTCGCTAATTTTATCCAACTAACTCCATAACACGAAATTAAATATTTGCACTCCAAAATCTGTTTGTATTACCATCAGTAAGGTCTCCTCTAACTGCAAAAATAATAAACATGAAAATATTTCAACTATTGAGACTTATAAAATTCCATTTACCACAAATAAAACTTTTCTCACGCTTTTTTACACAAATCCACCTGGTATAGAATGAGTTAAAAACATTTTGGGAGATTTATGAGTTGTTGATGAAAGCCACATAGATGCCACAAATTTTCATACCACCCAGATCAAATTCTATGAATAATTCGCAATTCCAGAGTGTTTTAAAAATATTCTGAAATTTAAAAAAATCAGTTTTGGAAACGCTTTTTAACAAAAATTTTTTTCGTATCAATATATCTCTGGTGCTATTTACACTAGCGAATTGAAATTTTCGACCCATAATGCTGACTATAAGGTGAACAAATTCTAAAAATTTCGATTCAAAATTTCTAATAGCGCCAAAGATATTAAAGGTCAAAAACGTTATCAGGGGGACGCCCCACCCTCAGTATGTGGGGGGTGCATGTATTTTAGTAAAATTAAACATATTTATATATTTTCACTTTCTGGGGGAAATTAATTTGGATAAGATGATTATTTATGATGTAAATGCGCGGTGCCAATCTTTTGAATATTTGTCAGGTTAATAATGTTTTAAAATTAGTCC